TCATATTTGTAATCAGCATGTTCGCTTACCCCCCTTCGCCAACTCTCAGCGCCGTAGCTGGAACTTTGCAAAAAATCGATAAAATGATAAAAGTAATTGATAATTCTAAAAACTAATATTGTATTCGTAATCAGCATGTTCGCTTACCCTCCTTGTCAACTCCCAGCCCCGTAGTTCAAAATTTGCAAACAAACTGATAAAATCATAAAAGTAATGGGCATTTTTGAGAATGGTTATCATGTTCATAATCAGCATGTTTGCTTACCTCCCCGTGCCAACTCTCAGCGCCGTAGCTGGAACTTTGCAAAAAATCGATAAAATGATAAAAGTAATTGATAATTCTAAAAACTAATATTGTATTCGTAATCAGCATGTTCGCTTACCCCCCTTGTCAACTCCCAGCCCCGTAGTTCAAAATTTGCAAACAAACTGATAAAATAATAAAAGTAATGGGCATTTTTGAAAATGGTTATCATATTTGTAATCAGCATGTTCGCTTACCCCCCTTCGCCAACTCTCAGCGCCGTAGCTGGAACTTTGCAAAAAATCGATAAAATGATAAAAGTAATTGATAATTCTAAAAACTAATATTGTATTCGTAATCAGCATGTTCGCTTACCCCCCTTGTCAACTCCCAGCCCCGTAGTTCAAAATTTGCAAACAAACTGATAAAATAATAAAAGTAATGGGCATTTTTGAAAATGGTTATCATATTTGTAATCAGCATGTTCGCTTACCCCCCTTCGCCAACTCTCAGCGCCGTAGCTGGAACTTTGCAAAAAATCGATAAAATGATAAAAGTAATTGATAATTCTAAAAACTAATATTGTATTCGTAATCAGCATGTTCGCTTACCCCCCTTGTCAACTCCCAGCCCCGTAGTTCAAAATTTGCAAACAAACTGATAAAATAATAAAAGTAATGGGCATTTTTGAAAATGGTTATCATATTTGTAATCAGCATGTTCGCTTACCCCCCTTCGCCAACTCTCAGCGCCGTAGCTGGAACTTTGCAAAAAATCGATAAAATGATAAAAGTAATTGATAATTCTAAAAACTAATATTGTATTCGTAATCAGCATGTTCGCTTACCCCCCTTGTCAACTCCCAGCCCCGTAGTTCAAAATTTGCAAACAAACTGATAAAATCATGAAAGTAATGGGCATTTTTGAGAATGGTTATCATGTTCATAATCAGCATGTTTGCTTACCTCCCCGTGCCAACTCTCAGCGCCGTAGCTGGAACTTTGCAAAAAATCGATAAAATGATAAAAGTAATTGATAATTCTAAAAACTAATATTGTATTCGTAATCAGCATGTTCGCTTACCCCCCTTGTCAACTCCCAGCCCCGTAGTTCAAAATTTGCAAACAAACTGATAAAATAATAAAAGTAATGGGCATTTTTGAAAATGGTTATCATATTTGTAATCAGCATGTTCGCTTACCCCCCTTCGCCAACTCTCAGCGCCGTAGCTGGAACTTTGCAAAAAATCGATAAAATGATAAAAGTAATTGATAATTCTAAAAACTAATATTGTATTCGTAATCAGCATGTTCGCTTACCCCCCTTGTCAACTCCCAGCCCCGTAGTTCAAAATTTGCAAACAAACTGATAAAATCATGAAAGTAATGGGCATTTTTGAGAATGGTTATCATGTTCATAATCAGCATGTTTGCTTACCTCCCCGTGCCAACTCTCAGCGCCGTAGCTGGAACTTTGCAAAAAATCGATAAAATGATAAAAGTAATTGATAATTCTAAAAACTAATATTGTATTCGTAATCAGCATGTTCGCTTACCCCCCTTGTCAACTCCCAGCCCCGTAGTTCAAAATTTGCAAACAAACTGATAAAATAATAAAAGTAATGGGCATTTTTGAAAATGGTTATCATATTTGTAATCAGCATGTTCGCTTACCCCTCTTCGCCAACTCTCAGCGCCGTAGCTGGAACTTTGCAAAAAATCGATAAAATGATAAAAGTAATTGATAATTCTAAAAACTAATATTGTATTCGTAATCAGCATGTGCGCTTACCCCCCTTGTCAACTCCCAGCCCCGTAGTTCAAAATTTGCAAACAAACTGATAAAATAATAAAAGTAATGGGCATTTTTGAAAATGGTTATCATATTTGTAATCAGCATGTTCGCTTACCCCCCTTCGCCAACTCTCAGCGCCGTAGCTGGAACTTTGCAAAAAATCGATAAAATGATAAAAGTAATTGATAATTTCAAAAACTAATATTGTATTCGTAATCAGCATGTTCGCTTACCCCCCTTGTCAACTCCCAGCCCCGTAGTTCAAAATTTGCAAACAAACTGATAAAATAATAAAAGTAATGGGCATTTTTGAAAATGGTTATCATATTTGTAATCAGCATGTTCGCTTACCCCCTGTGCCAACTCCCAGCCCCGTAATTCAAGATTTGCAAGTAATCGATAAATTTGCTAGAAGCAGTAACAAGTTTCCATACTGGAAAACAACAAACACGAAAACACCATCGACCAGAAAAACACCATCGAGGACGTACAGACAGCATCCACCAGCGTACAGACAAGTACACCATTCGGTTTTATATATATAGAAGGATTTGCAACACCTACGGCCTGTCATCCTACTCAAATAGGAGCGATCACTGCATTTTTTGCTTTCAGAAGCACCAAAAGTCAATCTGCTTCAACAAACAACTGGTTTGAAGAGTTTTCAAGCTCTTGTTCATTCCAAATGACAATCATGGAATCTACTGACCCTTCTGGATGGATGAGGTGAAGGGCGCTCTCGTAAACTCCGCGTAATCGCTGATTTTGACGGACAGACTCCAACCTTAACATAGGCTTGAAACGCTTCTAAATCACAAAACTCAGTTTGCAATGTCCACAAAGTGCTGAGCTTGATTTATTACATTGCCTACATGGGGATAACAACTTTCAGATCTTCCCTAATGATGCGGTAGCGATTTAGACCTGAAATACTTCCCACGAAAATTTCCTGCGAGCAGAAGACTCAATATACCCAAGATCTCTTTATTTCCCTCTGTGTTTCATGTCATATTTCACCCGATGAATGAGATTAGCTAAAATTTGAAGTTTTAGGATTCTTCGGTTTTATATCGGGATCTGAGCTGGCTTTGATTGTGCAGGGTGCTCCACTCAACGTTCAGTGGATGTCAACTGCGGCTGAACCAAAGTGCTCAATCCCGAAATTTTTTCCCAGTCATGCACACGAGTTCATTGTTGTATGGCTGTCGTAATGGCTACATTAGGCCCCGTACAGACTTCACGCTATTTGATCGTCGCGATTCAGTCGCCGAGATTTCCATTCATTTTCATTTCACATTAAATTTCGGGCTGGAAAAGCATCACAACCGCAATGCAAGTTGATCGGCTGGAATGATGTTGTAACAGTTGTCTCGTCGCGATTTAGTCGCGGCGATCAAATCGCGTGAAGTCTGTCCGGGGCCTTACAGTATTTTCTGTCGCTTGAAAATCGAGTTTTCTGGTGCAAAAGTGCGTCAACCCTATAGTGAGGTTGGAGTGTGTCCGTCAAAATCAGCGATTACGCAGAGTTTACGAGAGCGCTCTTCACCTCATCTATCCAGAAGGGTCAGTAGATTCCATGATTGTCATTTGGAATGAACAAGAGCTTGAAAACTCTTCAAACCAGTTGTTTGTTGAAGCAGATTGACTTTTGGTGCTTCTGAAAGCAAAAAATGCAGTGATCGCTCCTATTTGAGTAGGATGACAGGCCGTAGGTGTTGCAAATCTTATATATAAAGCTGAATGTCTATTTGTATGTCTGTATGTATGTCTGTATGTATGTCTGTCTGTACGTATGTTCCGAATAGAAAATTCCATTTCTGAACCGATCCGAACCAAACTTGGCACACATACACTTCGGGCCCCGGCGGGTGTCATAGGCTACTTTTCGTCATCGATCGATATCGATTTTACCGATTTTTTGCAAAATTTGAGCTACAGGGCTGGGAGGTGGCACAGGGGGGTAATCGAGCATGCTGATTACAAATATATTATTGACAGGGCCGGGCAGAGCCGGGTAAGCCATCTAGTGTTTCATATTTTGGGATATAATTGTACAAAAAAATTGAGAGTCAACGAATGGGATAGTGATTAAAAACACCAGGTGGCTTTATAATTTTGTCCAGCCTTCAAAGAGGGCTTTTTCGAATTTTTTCGTTTTTCTCCGTTCAAACTCAACAAGACTGGAAGCCGTTCTGAGGATTCGTGGTTGGTTCACATGCCCACAATACAGCAAAGTTGCAGACAGATTCATTGACGAGAACGAGAATTACGACCATTTGAGTGGCTTTATAATTATGTCCAGCACTGTATTAAGTGACTCAAAAATCCTAGCTCATAGGGGAGTTTTAGCTGGATTAATCTCATTAGTTGAGCAGTTCCTCATTGACTCAGTGTCCATTACGTAAATGGTGATTCGCCTTCTGTTCAAAAATCCTCCTACGGGTGGTCAAGCTAAATCACTCTTTCTGTCACCTACTTATGAACTTTGAGTTGATCAAATCTCTCTGAAAGTGGGTAATTGTCAAGCTCATCTTTAACCGATGCTTTGACCATACATTACCAGTGTTACCCGTGTCACCGCTGTTATCAGTGTTACCCGTCTCACTAGGGTTACTCGCATTACCAGAGCTACTCTGTTACTCGTGATACCGATGTTATCAGTGTAACTCGCACCTTTGTACTGATGATCATTTCACTACTTAACAGCAATAAAAGCGTTACACACGAGTAACACTTGTAACACGGGCAACACGTTTAACGTTGGTAGCCCGATAACACGATTAACACTAGTAAAATCGGTAACCGGGGTAGTAACCTATGGTCAAAGCCTGATGAAGAATTGAATCGAAAAAACTTAGGGAACTTATATGTTTTTAAATGCTACTTTTTTGTGTTCTTTTCCAAAAACATAAATGATAGTGGATAAGTGAACTATAAAAAGTGGAAACTATTCACAGTTTAGCCCGATGAATACGGAGTGTTACCGCGAGAAGCACCTCCAGGATACATCGGTAAGCTAACAGTTTGCAAATTTGTAGTTTCAAGTTCATATAAATTCCAGTCGGATTTGAACCACTTGCTGTAATGGACCGTATACATCACATTTTGATCTTTGGATGCACCAAACCAGCTCATACTTCAATTTGGAAAGGTTACGAGGTCTGTGGAGAAGGTGTGCCGCGAGTCCTCTATGCTTGGGCGAGAAATGGTAAGATTACCTAACAATTGAGTTATTATCTACAATTTTTTTTTGCAGCTCAGCCGCTTTACTTGCCGAATAATGTTGCATTCAGCGTCGGTCATGAAGATGATAGCGTCAAGTATTTTGTAATGCAGGTACTATGTGGGTCTTACGTCAGCTGATTATCAAATGACAGCGATCTCATTTCGTAGCTTCAAATTGATAGTTAGAGTGTCAAAAATGGGAAGGTATAGGCCTTGTAAAACCTAATTGCCCGCCATGTTTTAAACACCAGCCTAAAGCCCCGGAGAGACTTCACGCGATTTGATCATTTCACATTCAAAAATTTCGGGCTGGCAAAGTATCACAACCGAAATGCAAACTGGTCGGCATGGAATGATGTTGTAACAGTTGTCTCGTCGCAATTCAGTCGCGACGATCAAATCGCATGAAGTCTGTCCGGGGCCTAAGTGAGCGGTCGTGGTGAGGGACTGTAGTGCGTTTATTTCCGTCGGAAATTCCGTCAGATACCGTGTCCTTTTTAAGATTGTCGTGTATGCTTTGACGACAAACTCCTTCAAAAGTCTAGAAAAGTCTATATGAAAGGGTGCGGGGTCATTGTCGCTTGTGGACCCAACTTTTCAGCCGGTCCGCGCGTTGGTGTTTGAAGCGTGGGCAACTGGATTTTACAGGAACTGTATGATTTTCTGATATTTAAAAAAATCTGTTTCAAAAGGAAATTATGAGAGTAGAGAAAGGCAGTCAATACCTTAGTTTTTGAACAAAAAAATTCAAAGATACAAGGCGTTCAGGCAGTTAGGTAAAGGATTTCTTATGCTGTTGATTTGAAGGCATTAACTAAGTCATTGCTCATGTTACAACTTACGATTCATTCTTGCCCGAGAACTTTGCCACCAAACTCTTGCCCAATACAGTATCCGAATACGCCGATGGCGCTGACGAAGTTTACGGTTTGGGTGAGACTTTGGAGTCAAACCTTTTGGCCACGAGAATAGGCAACTACTTTGTCAAGGCATGTCCCGTTTCCACATTGGACTAGGTACGATTTCGCTCCTCTAACGTTTTCAAGTCACCTCCTTTTTCTCTAAATCGAAACTGTCTGCGAGCAGTACAAGATGACAGGGCTTTTTCTTGAGGGAGGGGTGGGGTGGAGAGCGGGGGGGGGGGAATCAAGAATTCTGATACAAAACTCAAACACATGTTATAACTGAAGCTTTTAGCAGACTCTTGACTCATACATTCAACTTTGATTATTGAATGGTTGTAATGTTATAAAAAGTGGAGAAATTTAAGATACATCCTTGCCTTTTGAAGACCAAAACTTGCCTAGTAATTTTTCAAATTGGCACTGTTCTTTGTCTCAAGGGACTGATATGATTGTTTATAAATAACCACTTGGTGTAAAAGCACTCCATTTTGGCACTTTATCAATTTATTATCGCGTTCCTTCAGGTCCACTATGCAAAGCCATTCGTCGGCGATGTGATAGACTACTCTGGAGTTACTATCCATATGACCCAGAACAGACCAGAAAATTTTGCTGACATACTTCTTATGGTTTATGCTGCTCCCGTTCCTCCGGGCAGACATCACATTCAAGTGAGAGATAGATTTGGATTTTAGACTTTCTGTTTTGGTTTGTCAGAAGACTCTGCAATTCTTGCAGTTGGATGTGAGCTGCTTGTATCGAGGCGACGTCGACTTACACCCGTTTGCATTCCGAACTCATACTCATGCCATGGGCCGAGTAGTGTCGGCATTCTACAAGCATGAGGGACATTGGAAGAAAATCGGAGTGAGACATCCACACTGGCCTCAGGTAAGTCTGCCTCATAGGTCCTTTGCAATGAGTTTTTTCGATAGTCGCTAACCTATCCTAATTTTCCAGTTCAGAAACTCTCAACGCAAAAAATGATAATTTTGTTGGAAACAATACTTAATTCTACAACGATTGTTAATGTTACCCATGCTTAGATGCCTTGCCCCCACCCTCCCCTCCCCCATCCCTTTTGGTTCATCGAGATGTATAATGCAAAATCTTCAGATCGACAAGCATAATTTTTTGAGCTGTCGTGTATTCACATACTCCTGTATACCCTTGAGTCTCTCAGCTGATAGAACATCTGACTAGATTTTCTAGCGATTATTCATAAGAACTTAATGTGCAGTATTTTTACAGATCTTCCAAACTATCGAACATAATCCTGTAATCAGGAAAGGGGACCTAATAGCTTCGACCTGCCGATTTGACTCGCATACCAAGACGCAGCCAACACCAATGGGGTTAGTTTCATTGATTACGATTCTTCTCTTTTCAACTAGTTTCGTATATCTACAAATGTTTGGTCTATATTCGATGTTGTAAATGACGGGTTTTCGTAGCTAACACAGGAAGTAACCAAAATATTTTCAAAAATTTGGCCTTAGCTACCCTCACCTCTACAATACCGCTCACAGAATGTGCAAAATTTCCGTAAATGTAGCAGAATTCCGAGAATTCCGCGAAGGTTCGCGAAATTCCGGGAATTTTGCGACATTCCCAGAATTTCGCGACATTCCCGAAATTTCGCGAAATTCATGTAAATCACGCAAATTACGCAGGGCCATAACTTCGTTCCGAATGAGTATATTCAAAATCCGAAAACAGCATTGTATTCAGCTCGTCAAGGCAAATCTTTTGGTATACAGGTTGTCTCCAATATCCTCTTTTCAATAATCTTGAATCTGCATGCGGACGCCTTTTCGCGTGGGTGTAACGCAACAAGCATCACACATAGGAGATTGCGGCGGGCACCCTTCGATAGTACTCTTTCAGTAGATTATTCTGCGCTAAACAGCAGCCGAAGACTCTCTTTTAAAAGAGATAGAAGAGCTGATAAACTCTGGAAAAAATCAAGCTGTTCCAAGTTCTACTAGCCGTAACTTCCTTCAGAATGAACATCTTCGAAATCCGAAAACAGTATTGTGTTCAGCTCGTTAAGGCGAATCTTTCAGTATACAGCATGTCCTTGAAATTCCTTTTCCAATTTTTTCAAAATTTTCTGCGCGCGTATATTCGCAAGGTCGCAGCGCAGCGCACATCAAACATAAAAGACTCCAATAAGCACTATTGGATTGTGCTGCTCCCGCAGATTACCGAGCGCTAAAAGCGAACTGGAGAATCTTTTTCGAAAAAGATGGAAGAGCTGGTGAATTCTGGAAAAATCGTGTTGTGTCAAATTTTGCCTACTGTAACCCTAAAATGGGAAGCTCTCCTGCTAAGCAGATGTGCTTTTCGTAATCAGCAGGTCAGATAACCTCTTTGAGCGAAGTTTCCTTATAATCCAAGATCATCGACATTTTGACCAAAACCCATCGGCGAGCTTCAGGGCGTAGAACGAGAAAAAATCAAATCACCCGAATTTCTTTGAAAACTTGCTCATAGGAGTTATCTGACCTGCTGATTACGAAAAGCACATCTGCTCAGGAGAGCTTCCCATTTTAGGGTTACAGTGGGCAAAATTTGACACAACACGATTTTTCCGGAATTCACCAGCTCTTCCATCTTTTTCGAAAAAGATTCTCCAGTTCGCTTTTAGCGCTCGGTAATCTGCGGGAGCAGCACAATCCAATAGTGCTTATTGGAGTCTTTTATGTTTGATGTGCGCTGCGCTGCGACCTTGCGAATATACGCGCGCAGAAAATTTTGAAAAAATTGGAAAAGGAATTTCAAGGACATGCTGTATACTGAAAGATTCGCCTTAACGAGCTGAACACAATACTGTTTTCGGATTTCGAAGATGTTCATTCTGAAGGAAGTTACGGCTAGTAGAACTTGGAACAGCTTGATTTTTTCCAGAGTTTATCAGCTCTTCTATCTCTTTTAAAAGAGAGTCTTCGGCTGCTGTTTAGCGCAGAATAATCTACTGAAAGAGTACTATCGAAGGGTGCCCGCCGCAATCTCCTATGTGTGATGCTTGTTGCGTTACACCCACGCGAAAAGGCGTCCGCATGCAGATTCAAGATTATTGAAAAGAGGATATTGGAGACAACCTGTATACCAAAAGATTTGCCTTGACGAGCTGAATACAATGCTGTTTTCGGATTTTGAATATACTCATTCGGAACGAAGTTATGGCCCTGCGTAATTTGCGTGATTTACATGAATTTCGCGAAATTTCGGGAATGTCGCGAAATTCCGGGAATGTCGCAAAATTCCCGGAATTTCGCGAACCTTCGCGAAAGTCTCGGAATTCTGCGACATTTACGGAAATTTTGCACATTCTGTGAGCGGTATTGTACTTGTGGGGCTAGCCCTTTGTATAAGCTACCCTCTGCTCTACTTGAGGGGTCCTTTGTATACTTCTTTTTTTACGTACTTGTTTTTTTTCGAATGAGCTTCCGCCCGCGCTTCATTTTGAGGAGGATTTCGGTCTTTCACGCTTGAAGAATTTTAGAAAAGCGAAGTTGCCAGCAAAATATTTCGAAACATTTCCATGTGTGGCTAAAGGGGTCATGTGATTCTCAATGTCGTGAGGATTGAACCTATGCTACTGCAGGCCGCTTGATATGTGTAACTTCTATATGATGTACTACTACAATGCGAGCGAAAAGAATCCATTCCCGAACGGCTCAATGTGCGTGGGCAATGAAAAACCTGTGAGATAGCTCTGTTTTTCGTTCTCTTCATGAAACCTGTTTAGTTGACGTTTTATTTTACATTTCAGACTGAAGTAAAAAATTATCCTATGGAAGGTACACGAATACTACCGGCTCGTCCGGTTTTGGAGCGTTCATCACATGCAACAGGAGTGAGCTTTAATTCTAGATATTGAATTTTTGATTTCTGGATTTTAACTCACTCATGCAATCGTTCAAAATATCTATTTATGATGGAAGAGTTTATCCATTTTGCTGAGGAGTGAATTGTTTGCGACTAAAAAGAAAATCCCTTTCCAATCTTCAAAAATTAGTGTTTTTTCGTCTTTAAAAGAGATTGGTGGACAGCGGCACGCGCGCCTCCCCTTCAGCATTTTTGCTACTCTTACAAGAAAATTATCCGTCATTCAGAAACCCTAGAGATTCTTGGAATTTCATGAAAAACTTTTGTAAAATCAAAATTATTTCAGATAGCCTTCGGTGTCGTCGAAAAAGGAGCGTTCACTAGCGTTGGAGATGTGAAACTTGGTCAAATTGCTTCATTAGCTTTCCAAGACGAGAGAATCTTCGCAATCTTCCATAGAGCCGGAAGAGTATGGGGCGAAAAGTATGAGCTTTTTTAAACGAATTTTTCAAAGATGGTCCATTGAATCTTAGAACTTTCGATCAGCATAATGTGCTCGTTGATCAGACACCGATCAAGAACGATGTGATCCTGATAGTTGCTTTGGAGGGTAATGAACTTCACCTGGTAAAGAAGCTAGGCCGGGGCAAGTCAGTGTACTTTTCGAATAAAATTTTTTATTGCATTTGATTGAGAATTTTGAACTCTTTTAGCAAAATTTTTGAAAGTAGATCAAAATTTATGGTTTAGCTATCATAGACCATGAAATTTTTAGATTCTACCTACCACATGGAATTCATATCGACAACGAAGGTTTCTTGTACACTGCTGATGCTGGCTCGCATACTGTGGCGAAGTGGAAAATTGAAAATAACAGTAAAAATTTTCTACATATATTTTTATGGTTTTTGAGATAAAGAGGAATGTAGGCGAGCCACCACACGCAGAGATTGGACGCAGTTGCAGCCAATGCCAAAGGTTTGGTTTTGGAAGAGACACTAGACGGTAAAAAGGATGATAGTGCGCTTGATCAGAGAAACACAGACGGTTCTGCGGTCGCGTCATGCCTCAGCGTTGCGATGACTCGTCTACATAAAATCAATATTTCTGTGACCTATGCAATTCTGCATTTGCAGACTTGGACTTGATCTGGGAAAGTGGTACAAAACTAATTCCTGGTAACGGTAACACTCATTTCTGCAAGCCAACTGCCGTCGTCACAAATGACGAAGGTGTTTTCGTCGCCGATGGCTATTGCAATAATCGAATAGTGCAATTAGACAAAGCAACTGGCAAAAGACTGGTAGTAATACTTCTAGGCGGTTGTCTGCTTACCTTAAAAAAACTTTTCCAGTTCGAATTCGAGGGACAGCTAAATGTCCCGCATGATATTGCAACATCTTTCCCTGGCCCTGGATTCCATCTGTTTGTGGCTGATCGTGAAAATGGCAAAGTTAAAGAATTCCACACCAGGGGAGACCTTGTAACGGAATGGGCCTCACCGTAAGACAAACTACTACATCTAAACTCAAGTTTTTTGCAAACAAAATCTTTTTGCAGCCTCTTTACAAATATTTATGCAGTAGATGTGCACGATGATTATGTTTTCATGGTCCCCGGACGAGCTGGAGGTTTCCCCGTAAGTTGACTGTATGAAAAACGCGACACACTCTTGCAAAGCTCCGCACCGGTGGAGCGGAGCTTGGCGCGCTAAATGCAGGGCATTTGTCCTTTGACGTTGTTTATGCGTAAGAAATTGAAAGCTGATTCAAACATGGGGTTGTCCGATTTGACAAAAAAAAAATTAAGAACGTTGTTCACTGCAACTCCAGCCCAGAAGAAGCTAAAACTCAAAAACGTAACCGATTTTCCCCCGCAGTATTCTTGACGGGACCCAACAGCTTTCTGAGCATAGTCTTCCATTTTCTGTGTTTTAATATTTTAAGTAAGCACAGAATGGTCGCACTTGTAAGAACGAAAATCCAGAGTTATCTTACACTCGACACGGAATGCCAAATGCCTGCCGTTTAGCGCGCGAAACTCGGTCGTTCCGAGTTTGTTTACAGATTGGTGTAGTGCCTGCTTTTGAACCATAACCTTGTCTAAAAATTTTTTTTCAATATTAAGCGTTATTTTCTTGTATTTTTTTTGTGAGATTATATTACTCAGGGACCTGCTCGTGTATATGCGGGTCGAACTGCTACTCCATTTATTGAGTACTCCTTTGCACCCACGAGCCGTCCGTTCGGTGAACCACATGCCCTAAGAGTATCTCCTGATGGTTACCGTATCATAGTTGGTGATAATTCCAAGCCAACGCTGTTCTTGTTCCAGGTATGTTTTCTCCAACTTCACTGAATAATTTGCACTTCCCGTGCTGTAGAAATTGTTCTGAGTTCCAGATACAACCCGTACACGCCACATCGCAATTTTCGCTAAGTTTTCATGAGTCCCATGATCAGTATGTCTATAATGGATTTGTCAATGCACCGGCAGTGATTATGACAGCGCTAGCAGTCACCATACTTGTCGGGGGATTTGTCAAAATCTTAGCAGGCAGAAGAAGAACGATTGCGGAAATACGCGAACCTGGAAAATTCGATAAGAAGGTACGCATTAGTGAGAGAATTGTAACATAAAAAAATGATTTTCGTTTCGGTATACAAATGATTTTTTGATCAAGAAGGGAGGAAAGGGGGGGGGAAGAAATAGAGGATTATATGTCGCCGGGGAGGTTCCGCGCGGCGCGGACATCGCGGCAGCAAAGGCTCCCGCCAGAGTGCCGAAGTTATGCCAGCGCGACGCCAGCATTTCGATCGATACACTGTTTCGTTGGGCGGGGCTAGCTGACGTCCCCAACGAAATACACGTGTATCGATCGAAATGCTGGCGTAGCGCTGGCATAACTTCGGCACTCTGGCGGGAGCCAAACACGCATCTCCTACAGTTTAATCATTTCATTTGATCATGCTCAGATACGCAACTGCTCGGTGCGTGCAGCGCGCGCAGTTGCGCGGTGGCGCGACACCCAGTCCGCGGATGGCAAGCTACTAAGTGCCGCGCCGCTGCATGATCGTCCGCGGATGGCTGTGATTTCAAGCGCGCGAGTGGCTGCCTTTCTTGCACGCGGATGGCGCTATTTGGGCACGCGAATGGTCAGCATTCTTCGCAGCTTCGCCTTCATTATTGACCCGCGCGCCAAATTTGAACGGCCAAACGTCCACCGCCATTAAATCTTTCGAAACTTTATTTCTTTTTTTTTCGACTGGACAACTTCAACAAACCTCTATTAATTACGTAATTAAAGCTTTCAAAGATACATGATGAAAATGTATTAGGTTGTCCGGAAATTAATGCCCGTTTTAAATTCCAACCGCGCTAAGTCATATACTTCTCATCTCTAAATGGGTTGCAAAGTACCATTCGATAGAGCAAAGCAAGCTCTACAAGATGGCCATCTTGCTTTTGCAAAAGCTTTGATCCATCTCGAGTTTCGAGCCAAAAACTAAAAAGACTCACCAGTCCGAAAAATCGAAAAAAATCGTAACTCAGTTCATAAAAATCCTACAAAAATTCCAATTTGCTTGCGTAAACACTATCCACATAAGACATCAATATATGCCGTTGCCGTATTTTTTCTCTGTTAGAAACCAAGGAAACGGAAATTTTCGTGCATTTGCCAAAGTGATGCTGTGCCGTCCCCGCATAGGTAGTTGTATACCACAAGTCTGTAGAAGTACAGACTCAAATTTCCAGCTCTCTACAAGCTTTAGTTCTCAAGAAATACCGAATATAGCTTTCCTTACTTAAGTGGTCCAAGCTAAAATTCAAATTTCTCGAGAACTAAAGCTTGTAGAGAGCTGAATATTTAAGTCTGTACTTTTTCAGGCTTGTGGTATACAACTACCTATGTGGGGACGGCACAGCATCACTTTGGCAAATGCACGAAAATTTCCGTTTTCTTGGTTTTTAACAGAGAAAAAAATACGGCAACGGCGTATATTGATGTCTTATGTGGATAGTGTTTACGCGAGCAAATTAGAATTTTTGTAGAATTTTTATGAAATGAGACGATTTTTTTCGATTTTTCGGGCTGCTGAGTCTTTTTAGTTTTTGGCTCGAAACTCGAGATGGATCAAAGCTGTTGCAAAAGCAAGATGGCCATCTTGTAGAGCTTGCTTTGCTCTATCGAATGGTACTTTACTATCTATTTAGAAGTGAAGAGTGTATGACTTATTGCGGTTGAAATTCAAAACGGGCATTAATTTCCGGACAACCTAATATATCAAATAGTGTACAGTCAAATATATATATGTAACGGAATGGCGTCATGTACGTGCAGTAAACATATATGACTCAAAAATATTGTTACACGGAACTTCGCTCATCAACAATGAATAGATCGTCGTCGTCTCCTGGCACTTCCCCATCGTCGACCATCTGGTCCGCGACTTTTCTCGATTGGCGCTGCGATAAATCCATGAAATACTAATTGAACAGCAAACAATTTTACCTTATGCGGTATCCATTTCGACTCGCTTTCCTTGTACGTATAGGACCTGATATACCGCTTGAAATTGATGTATTAGCAATTAAAGCTGCGTTATAACCCGTAAAAAATGACTATGCACAGTGCGAATGCAGGGCCTTGAAGAGTGCGCACGTCGTCGCATTTTCTCTCGCGAAGCCTGATCAAAATTTTGTTTTCTTTCAGCTTCGTCTGTGCCAAGACTAGCGCAAAATCTTCAATGAATGAACTTTGATGAAAAGACAACATGGACGAAATGAGGCTACTTACGCCGAGTTTTCAAGTCCGCGTTTGGTAGAAGTTCGTCGTACCCGTACTCCAACATATCGTCAGCAAAACTTAAACAAAAAAGTGGATTTCCTTATTAGAAAAACCCGCACACCGATCAAGATGGTTTCGTCCGTTACGTTTCCACCCTCTGACGGACAAATGCAATATAGTATAAGCCGTTGTCAAAACTCGTTAGTAAGGAAGAAAGGCTAGTAATAATAACGACAATCAACTAGAATAAGTTTACACAAAATAAAATATGTCAGAAGAAAACTAAAATGAAAATCTAGTTACAAATAAGACAAAAGCCTGTAAAAATAGCGGTAAAACCCCAGAAAACAGGGCAAGGGACAGGGCTATTTTTTAGAAGAGCAACTCGGCGTCCTTTAAGGCACGCGCACCGCTGTGCTAAAAGCTAAATCGCGCTCGCGCTGCTGCATAACAGTTGAAAAGTACGCGCGCCACGTATTTGCATATGAAAAGGAACGCGTGTCGCAGATAATTCTGCATACGCGTCTAGTATGGCGCGCGTTTGGCGCCGTGCCGGGCACGCTCCCAAAATCTTTCGGCAACATACAGCCCTCCACCTGGGATATTGAGGGGTAGGAAAGGATGCTTACAAGGAAAGGATACTTAGTCGAAAGCACCGATCCAGATGAGACATATATCATTGTGACCTGCTCGGAGCGCTGATTTCAAATCTGGCAAAATCAGCTGCGGAGCGCCTTTGGGTAAGGAGCTATGACCGTTTCAAGAGCCAAAAAATTCAATGGGTAGAGAGAGTAAAAGTGATTGTTACAACATGTATATTTTGCAGACAGACTCATTTTAAATGTGTGTATAGCAGACAGACATTTCTCTTTGCGCAGAGTAATCTGACAGACATCACTCCCCCATTCGAGCCCAACTGGAGACTTCTGCGTACAATTTTTTTCTTCCCTCGACTTCAAATTTTCTTCACAAAAACAACCATAACTCGTTGCCCAAAGGCGCTCCGCAGCTGATTTTGCCAGACTTGAAATCAGCGCTCCGAGCACGTCCAGATGATATATGCATCATCTGGATTGGTGCTTTCGACTAAGTATCCTCTCCTTGTTAGATATTTGACTTCTAAGATAGCTTTAGCGAGAATTATTCCTACAAAAGAAAAAATTCCTTCGTAGGAAAAAAAAGTTCGCATTCCGAAAGCCCTTGACCGAGGTGCGGGGGGGGGGGGGAGGGAGAGGTGTGGTTAGAGTTACGTTTCTCTCCTCCTTCGGAAATATGTCCGCTGTCTCCCCCCCTCCCCCCCCCCCCCATCCCTCTTTTCCTTCTCCCATTCTTACAATTCAAGAAACATGGTTACTTGTTGATCGAAATTTGTTGGAATTGCTGGACAAACTCCTAGAGTCTGTTTGTTCTTTAGGATCATTCGGAATGTTAACAGTTGTGATTGATAGCGAATTTCCACAATTATAAGATTCGTGATTACACTCATAGTCTTCCTTTTGCAATGACTTAAACTCAAATGCTTAGAAGTTTTCTTACTTTTTGTGTTTCAGGGCTACAAGCCTCTCGACAAAGATGACACAGCTGCTCTAATAAGCGAAGGTTCCGAGAATGAAGAACCATAGTTCTCATATATATTCCTTGTATGGTTTAATTGAGTATTGATGGTTTTATTTCCCTTCTTCTATTCATTCTAAGCATTTATAGTCTTTATGTATACAACATGTTGTATCCAATCTTCTCCCAGGTTGTGATTATAAGTGCGTCGCATAGCGACATTTGGGTGTCCAGATCGTGCATTTCCACTTTTAAATTTTCATCATATTTTGTATCGATGCCGCTTTATGTTGAAAATTTGATTTCTCTCTACTTACCGCAGTCTCATTGTGCAGTGACATCATTGATCAATTCAAAAGAAATTTTTAGATATTTTCTACTTTGAGGAGTGCTACTTACGCCCTTTTCTATACCGACATCCAGCTATTTTAGTCTGATACCTTCAAAAGGAAAAGAAAACATTAAAGTTGTTAACAGCCCAAAAAGCTTGAAACCTGATATAATCGTGCTTCTAGTAAAAGTCTCTTCTTTCGTGCTCCCTTGTCCTAAAAAATTTTATTACTACTATTGACGTCAGTCTTTGTGAGAGATGGTTGAGACTCGTGATATTCTGTGAACATTTGCCCACCAAATAAGTAATAAGCTGAAGTATGAATGCATGCACTTCTTATTAGTGATGACTTAAGAAATCAGCATTTTATTGCTTACTTGTCGAAAAATAATAAATTTTTTTGATAGATGTGTGTTTGGCTTGCTTGTCTTGGTCATAATATGGCTATTTTTTCTCAAACAACGTATATTGAAGTATCAGCTAGCGAAAATTTGTAGAAAGTTTGGGAAGAAATACGGTCGCGTTAGCACACGCAGAGACGGCACCATTTTGCACGCTGTCGGCGTCAAGCGCACTTTTATCGCTCTCGCTGTCTACTCCCTCGTCCAAACATGACCTACGGACGCAACGCGTCCAGTTCGTGTGACGAGTCCCTATAGTGATTTTATTGTAACAAAGTAATGTTTTTTAGTCGAAGCGGCCTTTCCATATGAAACTCGTATCATTTTGTAGAGCATTAAACGGTGATCCGATTATCTCAGTTTTCTGCGGAACGACTCCGAAGGTCATGGGTGTTTGAAAGCTAGAATTTGTCAAGCGTTGAGTGACATAAAATTAGTGAAAAGCAGCCAAAAACAGCTGAAAGCATGTAAATCAAATTTGTGTCAAGTATCTTATATACAGGGTCCCAAAAAGATGTGCACACTGTTTGATACTGTTTGATCGTTTATAACTCTCCTGCTTTCATGTCTTTTGCCGAGCTTGAGGTATCATTTTTTAGAGCGAGGTTAACTTAGATCTAGAGTATGGAGCGAATCATCAGTCGCTTTTCATTACTGTAGGATTACGGCAGGAACTTCGAGGAGGATTCTGACCTACCGAAAGTAATTTTTGCCTTAGAACGAAATCAAACAAGCCAGAAACACTTGTACCTGGCCTTACTAAAGTCGCTGATTCTAAATATGAAAATTGCATTTCAGTATAGGGCTTCTTTCATGGGTTATTTCAGATTTAGGGTAACATGTTTTTCCAGTGTTCGTCAGAAGTGTAAACATACCATCAAGAAAACTCAAAAAAACTGGTGGAAAATTATGCAGTGAAATTAGCACGCCTGAAAACCTTGCTGCACAAATTTTCAGACTTTTCTTTTGAAATTATTTCATCAAAAGGCCTAATCCACAGTGACAATGTGCGTTGAAAGTTCACACCGTCGTAATCATACAGTAATGAAGAGCGATTGGTGATTCGCTCCATGCTATAAATCTAACTTGAACCTCACTCTACAGAATGGTACCTCAAACTTGGCAAAAGACATGAAGGCAAGAGAGTTATTAACGACTAAACAGTGTGCACATCTTTTTGGGACACTCTGTATAAAGCTGAATGTGTGTTTGTATGTATGTCTGCTGTCTGTGTGTACCAGTGGCGTACCCAGGATTTCGGCTCGGGGGGGGGGGGCGCGACGAAAAAATTTTTCTAAAGAAGGTGCGTGGCGTTAGCCACGCACTCCGAAAAAATTTTTGGGGTGCTTCTCAAAACTTTTGCGGTCCCCGACCCCTAAAATCTGGAAAAAGGGGGCGTGGCGTCAGCCACGCCCCCGAAAAAAATTTTTTTACAAAGCTAATTTGAATTTTTAAAAATTTTTAAAAATTATTTTAATTATTTACAAAAAGAAACAAGTCACTTGCACATTTTTATAACATACTAGCTGGCTTACCCGGCTCCGCCGTATCCGGACCAAACTTGGCACACATACACTTCGGGCCCCGGCGGATGTCACAGTCCACTTTTCGTTATCGATCGATGTCGATTTTACCGATTTTTATCGATTTTTTTGCAGAGTTCACCTACAGGGCTAGGAGTTTGCACAGGGGGGAAGTGAGCATGGGGATTCCGAATACAATATTAGTTTTCAGAATTATCGATTACTTTTATTGATTTTATCGATTTTTTGTAAATTTTGACCTGCGGGGCTGGGAGTTTGCACAGGGGGTAATCGAGCATGCAGATTACGATTACAATATTAGTTTTCAAGATCGTCCATTACTTTTATCGATTTTATCGATTTTTTGAAAATTTGAGCTAGGGGGCTGGAATTTGGCACAGGGGGGTAATCGAGCATGCTGATCATTCCCAAGGGGGGTGATCAGCATGCTCGATTACACCCCTGTGCCAAATTCCAGCCCCCTAGCTCAAACTTTGCAAAAGAATCGATAAAATCGATAAAAGTAATCGATAATCCCGAAAACCAATATTGTATTCGGAATCCCCATGCTCGATTACCCCCCTGTGCGAACTCCCAGCCCCGTAGCTCAAACTTTGCAAAAAATCGATAAAATCGATAAAAGTAATCGATAATCCTGAAAACCAATATTGTATTCGGAATCCCCATGCTCGATTACCCCCCTGTGCCAACTCCCAGCCCCGTAGTTCAAATTTTACAAAAAATCGATAAAATCGATATCGATCGATACGAAAAGTAGCCTATGACACCCGCCGGGGCCCGTAGCGTATGTGTGCCAATTTTGGTCCGGATCGGTTCAGAAATGGAATTTTCTATTCGGAACATACGTACACACATACAGACAGACAGACAGACATACAAACAGACATTCAGCTTTATATATAAGATAAGTAACTTTCAAAAATTTCGCGACCCATTCTCGGGGGGGGGGGGGGGGCGCCCCCTTCGCCCCCCCCCCCCTCGGTACGCCACTGGTGTGTATATGTTCCGATTAGAAAAATTCCATTTCTGAACCGATCCGGACCAAACTTGGCACACATACACTTCAGGGCGGGTGTCATAGGCTACTTTTCGTCATCGATCGATATCGACTTTGTCGATTTTTATCGATTTTTTTGGTAAAGTCTGAGCTAAGGGGCTGGGAGTGGGCACATAATCGAGCATGCCGATTACGAATACAATAATGGTTTTGAAATTATCCATTACTTTTATCGATTTTATCGATTTTTTGCGAAGTATGAGCTACGGGGCTGGGAGCTGGCACAGGATGGTTACTGACTGGCTGATGGCTGATTACTAAAACAGCGGGAAACTGTGAATTGGCATGTAGACGTGGGCACCGGGAAAGTTTGTGCAGGGATAGAGAGAGAGCTTTATCTTAGCGTTTTAACAGGGCCGGGAGGAGCCGGGTAGGCCAGCTAGTATTGATTAAAAGAATGGAACATGACCTGTGGAACTTTACAAAGGTGTTAATGTACAGCTTTTCGCTAGTTTTATGCCACTCAAAGTCTGACAAATTTCGAGTTTCAAACATTCATAACTTTTTTCGGAGAGCCGTTCCGCAGAAAATGAAGACAGATTTGTGAACAGCGTTAATTGCTCCACAAATGATCCAGGTTTCATATGAAAAGACTACTTCGACTAGAAAAGGTTTCCTTGTAAGTAAAAGTGCTTATTCGATCGAAATCCGTTTTCTTTCCATTACATTCACGTTTATCTCTCGACATGAACGCAAAGATCGCGGAAGGTGTCTTGTCATAAATTGATCAAGAATAGATTACAAAATCTTGGATTACTATCCTTCATTTAGAATTACATAGAAAAGACCTTATGAGCTCTTTTTTGGGGTTTCGTAGTCGTTATTTTTGTCGAATTCATGACAGAAACTTTGTTCCAGTTCTGAGTTTGGGGCAGCAAAGCCCTATATATTTTTCACCGTGGAATATCTGTCATCCTGAGCGAATATGCAACTGTTTGGAAGGAAAACGTATCTCAAATCGATGCGTCTGGAAAAAAAAAGTGAGCGAGGACTTCTCGGAAGACCAACATTGATGTCAAAATGGACCATTCAGTATGGTTAAGAAGAATCACATCAAAGCCTGGTTAGTCTGTTTGGTGAGTCTTGAATCTATAATAGTACATTCCAAGTTTTATCTCTTTTTTTTTGAGCGTCGTAGACTTACTAGGGTTGTAAAGATGTAAAAAACAAGAATAAAGTTAGTGCCAACCTCAAACTTTCAATTTCTACCCATTTTCTTTCGGGATGCTGGCGTTATTCTAGAGTTGAAAAGCCATTTTTAAGCATTCAACATGTGATTAGACATGAAATTGTACCCTATTTCGCATTCAAATTTATTCAGATTGTCGAAATTATAGAAGAAACAAAGCTGTAAAGTGCTTTGAGATCCTTTTCTCGTAGCTTTGAAGCCTCCTTTTACACCAAAAATTTCTTGTTTTTCGCTTCTCCATAATTTTTCGTGGGATAACTTCTTTATCGCATCAGTTCGGAAGGGCTTTTCGATTCTTTTCTGGCATACAAAAAACCTTAGCTGGAAGCCTACGACAGATGCCCCCCGATTCCTCCTCTTCTCGATGACTGAAAATTGCCTAATTCCAGAATGTACCTCCTATTACTTTTATTGTATTGTGCGAGCTATGTTTTTGCAATGTTGGAAAAGCGGCAGGTGGAAGTCGGAGAAGAAGTCACCAAAGTTATTCTGCAAATGCCTGGATATTCACCTTCTAAGGTAAACAATTACATTGAGCAAGGTTTTTATACAAATCGCACAGAGTCGCTCAACCCCCCCCCCCCCGGTTAAGCATGTGAAAACAGCCTTTTGGGTCTCTCGAAATGGACCTACAACAGTTTGAGTAATTTATAAGCTAATGAAGAATCTCAAGTTCTATGGTTCAGATCAAGAAAGATTTCAGATTCTGTTTTCGGATACAATGAAATCAAACCAAACAAAATACGATTTTTGACCTCTTGTTTGACCTACCCAGCCCATAATCAGGCTATGCTTCGCACTTTTCTCTCGCAGCTCTTTTCCTTCATTTAAGGACATATATAGTTTTAGTGCTTGCTTTTCATGTTCTGATATTTGGATGTTCTCAGTAGGTCTCATCTGGGAGTACAGTGGTTTCTAGCGTCTAGATATACTTTTTAATGCATTTAAAAACTAAGGTTCTAATCGAATTGTCAAATTTCGTTCTTTCTTCCTTCATTCGATACTTCCAAAATGCTTGCCCTATGTAGAGTATTTATATAGAAAAGTTGCATCCTTCTTTCTCATCGCAAGTTAGTCTCAGTGTAACGACTGGAATTTCAAATCTCAAAAAGGTTTCAGATTTGACTAGACTGTACTACATGGGCCATTGCTTCATCCTGGTTTCTTCAAACATCCAGATAGATTTTTCTCTACTTCATGCTAATACATGATCTGAACGATATAATCAATTTTGCGAGCACTACTTTTTTGCTTCAAAAAGATTTTACTGCTTAGAAGTTCGACCTTACTGCTTTGACAAATGCTCTAAAAAGTTTGTATCTGTCGATTTGGAAATATTATACGATTTTAGTCGTAAGCGTTTTTCATTATAACAATCATTGATCGTATTATGCGCAAGTTCTGGATCTTCTGGATCCTCAAGCACTCATCAAAAGTTTCAATAAAGTTGCAGAGAGGCCAAAGGCAGTGTTCGGCAAAATTTTGTTCTCCGGATTTCACATTTTCGGAGCCTTCTCGACATGAGGAATTCATATCGGGGCTTTGCAGCGCTTGAAAATGGCAAATATGAGCTTTTTTCGAAGCTCTTCGTTTTCTCCTGCAGTATACGTGTAAGGAGCAGGGCCCGAAACGAGTGGGAGTGGTCCGCAAGACTTTCGGAACGGATTTTGGGCTTTCCAGACGAGCTTTTTCGCTCCAGACTTCACTGATAGATTAGCTGGGAGGGGGAGGGGGAGGGGGGAGGGGTCTGACATTGCAACACTGTAAAACCTCAGCACTTATCATTTTGCCGGGACGCTGCCTTTGATCTGAAATCGTCGCAAACTAAATCTTTTCAGAACGACGAATATGGAGTATTACCGCGAAAAGCTCCTCCAGGATACATTGGTAGGATGAGAAATTAACAAATTCCGATTACTGTCAATATCAATACCAGTTGCATTCGAACCCTTTGCCGTGATGGATCGTATACATCACATACTGATTTTTGGATGCACCACACCAGCTTACAATTCAATCTGGAAAGGTTACGACGTATGCGGAGCGGGTTTGCTGCCTCGAGTCCTCTATGCATGGGCAAGAAATGGTGAGGTGATGGAGCAAGCGAAATCTACTGTTATAGAATTTTTTTTCAGCGCCGGCACTTTTCCTACCGAATAATGTCGCATATAGTGTCGGTCATGAACAAGACTATATAAAGTATTTTGTTATGCAGGTTTGCTTATTTCATTTTTGCTTTGTAAGTTTTTGAACATGACAAAGTCCAAAAGGCTATAGGAAAAAATGCATTATTTGTAGAATTCCGTAGCACATCAAAAAGGCAGCGAAATTGTACAAAGCTGCGTCTAAAGTTGCCCGTGCCAGCGCAGCGCCTAAGCGTTGATCGATCGATACAGGTCGCGTCCATCCTGGCACTGACATTGCGATAGCACGGAACTGGCCATCAGCAACTTTGGTCGCAGCATAACCACAACACGATATATAAAATCTTGGTCATATATAAATTTTTTGGCAGTTGTCCAAGCGCGGCTATTTCATTGATGGCGAGTACGAGTGCAAGTTCTTGCCCATACCGTACACTTTGGCGTGAACCAATCATCTCCCCGAGGACGATGCGTTATCGGTCTGTTTGGAAATAGTAGAGTGTGGGCGAGAGTCTAGAGTGGAATTTCCCTGCCACAAACAATATGATCTGCCGTTTGAGCAATGGCTTAGCTAGAACCACAAATTTATATTTTCCTGAGGCCCTAGGACCTATACGCTGCTGCATGATGAAGACAATATCTTTAGGCGCGAACGCGGCTTTATTAGCCGCGGAGCGCATGACCCGCAGGATTTGACCGGTGGGGATGCGCGCGCCGCGTTCGCGCCCGCTCAACTAATACTGCTTCTGCTCCTTCGTCACGCAGTAGCTTTTTACTTGATTGCTTGCATGATTGCGGTTGAGGTGATACGCTAGGCGTCAAAGGATTCAGTACATCAAGATTCAAATTTCAGTAGATCTAGTGACATCCATTGGAGATTCGCCATTTTGCCTGTGACATCAGTCAATAGTTCTGACGAATTGGTGTCACTGGTGCTTAAAACAACTACTTTTTTATTCAGGTCCACTATGCAAGAACATTTGTTGGCGATGTATTGGACTATTCGGGAGTCATCATTCATATGACTCAGAAAAAGCCACCTAATTTTGCTGATGTCTATCTCCTTGGTTATACGCAACCTGTTCCTCCCGGCAGGCATCATCTTCAAGTAAGTGACGAAAGGTGACCTCTTGGGTTGTCAGTAGCCTGGTGGTTCCAATGCTCCAGAATAAAAGATTTAGCAGTGAATATTAGGAGACATTTATATATTTTCTCATCAAGGTGATCGAATGAGCTCACCCTTGACAGTTGTTATATTATGGGCTTTTCAGCTCTATCCTTACATATGCAATTTATTTCGACTTTCCTCGTTTTCAAACAATTTTGGGCCTGAGTACGATTTTAGCCTCAAAAATAGCGTTTTTCTGACTAAAGTGTCCCTTTTGTACGAAGTCATGGAGAATTTTTGTACACACAAATAATCATCAAAAAGAGCCTGAAAAGCTCTTTTGATTGATATGTCATATCAGTGGCGGTCCCAGGATATCGGACCGGGGGGGGGGGGGGGGGGGCGCGGAAAAGTTTTTTTTCCAAATGAAGATGCGAGATTTCTTCGGAGTCTTCTCAAAATTTTCGCGGGTCCCCAACCCCTAAAATCTGGGAAAAGGGGGCGTGGCGTCAGCCACGCCCCCCGAAAAAATTTTTTTTATAAGGCTATTTGAATTTTTAAAAAATTTTAAAAATTATTTTAATTATTTACAAAAGTAAACAAGTCGTTTGCATATTTTTATAATCCATATAGGTAAGTTTCAAAAATTTCGCGACCCATTCTAGGCGGGGGGGGGGCGCCCCTCCCCCCTCGGACCGCCACTGTGTCATGTGTCTAGGAACTTTGAGCTACAGCGATACAAATTTGGATAGCGTTCAAGAAAAATCTGTATGACTTCTTCGGAGCGCCGCGAGAAAGAATATACATGAAGCAGTGCAAGGTGCTGTCAAGATAACCTGCGAAGGTCACTTTATACAAAAGCATTCAAAATGCGGGTTATGAGTAATTAGAAAAAGACCTCGAAAATGTTCACGGAATTAATAGCCCCACTACTTTTGGATCATCCTAATGGTAATAGCATTTAGCTGAATGTTAGCTGCGAGTATCATGGCAAAGCTGATTTGCATCCCTTTGCATTCCGTACGCATACTCATGGAATGGGAAGAGTGGTATCCGCTTACTATAAGCATGAAGGACATTGGAAGAAACTTGGTATACGATATCCGCTTGCCCCACAGGTATGCAGTCCTTTTTTACGATTTTATTGCTCAAAAATTCATCACTTTTTGAAACCTTGATGATTACAAGTCCGACATAATTCTTGATCTTCAACAAGAAATAAATTGACTAGTAATGATCTTAGATGCCGCTAAGGAAAAGTTGCTGCTATTTTTCAAAGTCCTTGCGCACTACAACCTCGACAAAGAGACAGACGGTTGCTGCGAAAAGAGAAAGGAAGGGCTAAATGATCGTTGCTAATAGGGAAAAATTTCAGAGTTAAAAGCACTGGCCTAACAAGGAAAGGATACTTGGTCGAAGTGGCGTTTCCATGGCAAATGTATACTATCTGATAGAGCATGGAACGTTGATTTCGTATCTACTTTCGGTATCTGCAGAGCGCTTCTGGGATGGGAGTTATGAAAGTTTTTTGAAGCAAAAATTAAGGTTTTGGTTAGGGTAAGAACGAGTATTGAGCTCCGGCACTTGCGATAAGGCACAGAAGGGAGTAAAAGTTGAGAAGACACGCAAAGAGGAAGCACAAGATTCTGAGAAGGAATGGCCTGTTGCGTTTATTGCGCCGAGATGTACAGAATCATTTGAGGAAGTTGAGCTGAAGCAGTGTGGAGTACTGACCAGGGTGGCAATATCATTCAGCCAACTCAAGGAAGCACTGAAGTACTTGAAGATATGTCGTATGTGGATCATAGTATGGCCCATGAACCCAAGAAGGGAGAATGAGGCTATCATAGAGACATTGCGGATGTGCAAGAAGTACCTCGAAGAAGGAGGGAAGATTGTATCCGTGTGGCCGCCCCTACCGTTTACGAAGAGTGGTTTGTGGAAAACGAAGTCAAAAGTGTGGTCGGTGATTGAATCAGTACTGGAAAAATGGGCAAACCCAAATCAGTTGTTCACGTTGGCTCCCTCAAGGACAGAAACTAGGAATTTGACCATGGGAATAGATCAGTGGCGTACCCAGGATTTCGGCTCGGGGGGGGGGGGGGGGGGGCGGCAAAAAATTTTTTCAAATGAAGGTGCGTGGCGTCGGCCACGCACTCCGAAGAAATTTTAGGGGGGGCTTCTCAAAATTTTTTCTGGCCCCAACCCCTAAAATCTGGAAAAAGGGGGCGTGGCGTCAGCCCCAAAAATTTTTTTTATAAGGCTAATTTGAATTTTTAAAAAATTTTAATAATTATTTTAATTGTTTACAAAAATAAACAAGCCACTTGCACATTTTTATAACTCATGTAAGTATCTTTCAAAAATTTCGCGACCCGTTCTCGGGGCCCCACCCCCCCCCTCGGTACGCCACTGGAGTAGATGGACCCCAAAATTCTTTTCAGGTATACGACACGCATTTCAGGGACGGATATGTGCGACACCTCTACAACGTCATCCGCAGGAGAGTTCCCGGCGCAAAGCTCAGCAAGTTGCAGCAGCCGTCGAGGACGTCGGCTCCCCGGAGGGGAGGGATGTTGGATGGCGCGGATCGCCGACCTACTGATCTCCAGTGGCGGGAAGAAAAGCCCGCGCTGACCCCTTCAGCAGGCTATAAATACCGGTGGATAGGGGGGGAGCAGGCAGAGCGTGAAGAGAGCGCTCCAGGGAGTTTAAAAGAGCCGTTGAAGGGAGGCGGACCTCCCCCCTTAGATAGAAAGAAGCTAGAATACCCTGCTGAGCGGGCCAAACCGGGTCAGGGGACCCATATTCGTTGTTGAGTGTTTAAGTTGTTCAAGTTGTTCGAGTTGTTGTTCGTTGTTGCCATAGAGATAAATATCTTTATTCTAACCGTGTCCTTCTCGATCGATCCGGTTCAAACCGTCAATACCACTAGACAACCTCCGTTACATTTCGATTTTATTGACTTTTTTTGAATTTTGAGCTACGGGAATGGGAATTTGCACAGGGATGAGTGAGCATGCTGATAAATAACACGGTGAAAATAAGGAGTTGGAGTTGGTATGAAGAAATGGGCACAGGGAAAGGCTATACAGAGATAGGGATGGGAGGTTTACCATAGTGTTTTGACGGGGACGGGCGTAGCCGGGTAAGCCAGCTAGTTATAATGAAGGTATCAATTGCAAAATGCTCTCTGGCATTAATCATGATCCCCTCTAAGCTCACAGGTGACATTGCTGAAAGATTTTTGCGGCCGATCGAAATTTTGACTTCGAAGAATTTTCATAATTTTCATCCCAAAAGCGCTTTGCAGATACCGAAAGATTCGGAATTATCGTTCCATGCTCTATAAGATGACATACATTTTCTAAGGAAACGCCACTTCGACCAAGTATACTTCCCTTGTAAAATACTTATTTAGTGAAGTTGACCCTGGCCCTGTTTTGAATCTGGATGCCTGCCGTCGAGGTTAAAGGCAGGGTGCCGGCAAAAGGATGGGTGCCGGGTTTCTGTGGCGATGTTGAAGATGACCCCTTAACTAAGCGATGACTGAAGTTCGGGGCGAAAAAGGAGGTCTACAAGCCTGAAATTTGCTCTGAAATTGGCCCGGATCTTACGGTAGGCCCGGACGCCGCCCACACAGGAATTTCGAACTGGAAGGCCAGAGCACGCATAGCACACACACTTATAAGGGCAGGGTCCCAACGACTCTGCGTCTATAACCTGCATGCATCTGCTCGCCCGAGCATACCGTAAGATCCGGACCACTTGGGGGGGGGGCAATTTTTAGACTACGTAGACTCCCTTTCGCGCTGCAAACTTCTGTCGTCGCTTAGTTAGGGGTCTACTACTACATTGCTACCAGAGCCAGGTACCCACCCCCCCCCCCATCTGATGGGACGCTGCCTTCAAGACCCAGAGTTGTGGTGGGACCCTACGTTTGGACTGTGTGAGATGTACGCACTTCAGCATCGATTTATGCTTCGGTGGGCTGATCGTTACGCTACGATCAAAAGACTGGTGGGGGTCTTCTGATCGTAGCGTAACTCTCCCACTTCCTGAGCATTTTTCTCGCTTCCGGTTTGACGAAATGTGCCCGCATTTGGGACGGTGGGGGTGGAGGACTATATGTCGCCGGAGATGGTCTCAGCGGACATCTGCAAATTACGTGTAATACAAATTTATACGGCTGTCTGCGTGGGATGGAGCCTATCGACGACATATGGGTCCCCTGTCCGGCTGGTAATATGTTAGAGTGGGTACTTTTGCGCGAATGTGAAATGCCAAAACCCTCAACCTAGTCCGGAAACTGCCTTTAAGGTATGTTTCACCCTTGAGGTACGTTTGCGAACACGGGTCACCAACCATTTTGGGTTGATGTAAACTTTATATTTTAGCGCTGAGATTACACATACCTTAGCATCATGTGCACTGGTATACAGCTCTTAAGGTATATTTAATTCTCAGGTGATTGATGAAGAAAGGATAATAGGATAAAGGATTCGGCGTCTTCAGTACCCTTGCGGGCATGCGCCAAACGCACACTACTTCATAGTCAAGAGGTAATTGTATGCGTGCGAGCCTACTGCAGTGACTTGCGGGGGCCAGCCGTTTCCAAGTCAGCGCTTTCTCAGACAGTCGATAAGTTACCTCCGGAGCAGAAGTGGCAGGGTCGCGGGCTTTCCGCAGCGGAGGATTGCCACTTCGCGCTCCGGAGCCCTGTCATTTCACGCATTTTGCTGCTCCGGGGCTCTCCCAAAACTGGCGCACCTCCGGAGCAGAGATTTGCGCGTCCCGGAGAGGGGTCCCATTCGTCCTGTTTGTGACGTCACCGTGACGTGACGGTGAATGAGTGGAACCCCTCTCCGCGACGCGCAAATCTCTGCTCCGGAGGTGCGCCACTTTTGGGAGACCCCGGAGCACAAAAATGCGTGAAATGGCAGGGCTCCGGAGCGCGAAGTGGCAGACTCGCGCCATATGCCCGCCGGAGGTGTCCCTTCGACTGTCTGAGTTTATCCTCCCAGGTTACTCTAATACCAATTTACCGGCCGGGAGGGTAGAGGGCTTGGTTGGCCCAGGAGCGGGAATCGAACCTGTGTCCGATCTGGTCATAGCGGCGCCTCATACCACTATGCCCCTCGTCCCGTTGTTGATGAATACGCTCACCTATTGTAGGAAAATGATTGATTGTTGATGATTATTATAAATTTTCATCAGTACAAGTAATTGTATTGGCGTAGATGCGCGTATGTGGAACTTTCGTTCAGATTTTTCAAATCATCGAACATAATCCAGTGATCAGGAAGGGTGATTTGATAGCGACAACTTGCCGAATGGACTCGCATCACAAGACAGTTCCTACACCAATCGGGTTAGTTCCAATTTTGCGTAGCTCCATAGATGAGTGCTGGTGTTCAACTTCGTAGATACAGGAAAAAAATAGATAGCCTTCTCCTAAAGCCTATACTGAGTTTTTGCGGACCTGTGTAACTCCCGTGAGTGATTGACGCTCTCCTGCGTTGGTGAATAGCAGCTGCAGGCAATAGCGCAATACACGAGTTGTGGGAGCCTTCTTTGGTCATGGGCAACTGGTCTACTTATCAGCCTGTTCTGGCCACATTTGCCCAAAGTACTCATATTCAGACGATCGCTGGGTAGAGAATGCGCTTGCAGACTTCTCGGACTCGGAGGGTGTCATATACAACCGAGATCTCCTAATCGTCTTCACATAGAGGCCGAACCAAACGAAGGACTCCTCCGCCTGAAAACCGTTGAGACGGTTAAGGCGAGTATCCTGCCCTGACAAGAGGCAGAGTATATCCCCCAGCGAAAGACTTGATGTTCAGCACATCGAGACTTTCGTTTGTGAAGCAGAAGCGTGGCGGTTTACAGCGCCAGCTTCTAACTTAAGAGGAGGAGGTGTGCAGTTACCGGGTACTGCACCGTCCGAGACAGAAAAATATACGGAGACGCGAGTAAATAACTTACACGCAGAATCCCGTACATTGACGGGGCGGAGCAAACATGCGTGTACCGTTTCTTGATGACTGCTAGAGTTCCTAATCGCAGAAATCATGTTTGCATCGTGCATTGGCAAGAAAAAAGAAAACGCGTGAAGAAGAGAGCTCTATAGTAGGTAGCGTTATGACCGAGGTTATCTTATTGTTAGAGAGACATATCGAGAAAATCATCGTAGGAAATTCGATGCAATCGAAACATCTTCAATTTCTGAGCAAACCAGTGTAAAACTCTTCAGCATGCAGCAACCGGTCGCCTTAAAGGGCTAGAGACCTTGATACTCATCCTATAGCACAGATGTTCGCCGCATGACTCTCCCAGGTGTGAAAACCTTCAAAGACTTTCAGGGAAGAGGGTGGGAGGTGTCTGTGGTAGAGTGGAGGATGATATGCAGCTTTATGAGATTGTAGACATGCTAGTGCACCTGTTCCTCTGATAACTAGGAGGACACCTGAGAACGGTGGCGGAAGCGCTACCAAAGAGGATCAGAGAAGGCACACTAGATGGTATCATTTAGGCAATGCGAGGCCAACTCAGTGTTCACGATTCCGCAAGTCAGCTGAAGGCCTAAATGGGAGCTCAAAAGCTTGAGGATGAGAGAAGATGTAGCCTCGTACCTAGTGGACTTGGAACTAACGCAGAACCTCGAAATGCTCGTTTCAAAACGCTAAGCGAACCGCCTTAAAAAGTAGTCTATTTTCTTCTCTGAGGTTGAAACTGTCTGTGCGCAAATTCAGCTCAATCGGTTCACTCAGAAAGGAGTCTATGCTCTACCTACGAAAACAATATGCAGCTAGCATTGTGGATGTCCAGTCTTGACGAGTCCTTAGGGTTGTTTCAGACTGCCGCACTGACTGCAGCAGACTGCAGCTGACTGCAGCTGACCGCACTGACCGCACCGGTCGCAGCCTCTTTTCTTAAAAGAAAACAACCGCGATTACCAAAACAGCGTGATTTACGCATAAGTAGATCATAAGTTCCATCAGAATTCTTTTCAATCAAATTTTGGCCATAGTTTTCTTCGGTATGTTCGTATTTGTTCTAATTCCTCCTATCATTGCATATACCTGTTTTGTAACATTCTAAACCGTTTTGTCTTTTGCTTTAACGTATATATTGTTGTTGTTTGTTTAAACCACAACTATTTATCCTCTCCGCCTGCATGGTACAGCCGCTGCGGTCGTTGCGGTCAGTGCGGTCAGCTGCAGTCTGCTGCAGTCTGCTGCAGTCAGTGCAGTCAGCTGCAGTCTGCTGCAGTCTGCTGCGGTCAGTGCAGACTGCTGCAGTCAGTGCGGCAGTATGAAACAACCCATATGCGCTTAACGATGGTTTTCGTCGGTTGAGAATCATAAAAAATATCATATCGATCAGTGCGCTCGGCTACCTCCAGTCGTATACAAGTGTGGTCCATAGTTACCCACTTCAGCCGCTTTATTCATTTGATATGGTTTACTGATGGCACGATTTTTTGTTACGAAAAAAGAAGTTGAGAGGTGTTTATCCCTGGCAGGACGAAAGGGCGATTTTTGATGAACGCAGAGCTTTTGCAGGTTTAGCTTGATAGAAACCTGTTTCTCCTAACTTCAGGCCTCGATGACATTGGGAGTGGTAGATCTAAATACACTCATGAATGCCAACGTAACTTTTAATACAACTAGGTTGGCGGCTGGAAGACAGGGCTTTGTAACCTAGTTGAAGCCGCTCGCACCCGCTACGCTTCTGCGGGTGTATGTCAAGAGGCGCGATTTTTGTTGCCAGCTGGACAGCAAATAGCACATATTTGATGTTTTATAAGGTTCTGGGAGTATTTTAGAGTTTAGGAGAGATATATTAGATGGTTGCACGAGTTTTCCAGTCTTACTATTCCAAAAGCGATTCAAAATAAAAATTTTGAAGGTCAGAAACTCATGAAAATGCAATTAATAACAAATTTGTATTTATTTAGGTCGGATTTCCAGCAAAAGCCTTCAAACTCAGCAGGTAGTAACTTTAGATGACTAGTAAACCAATGTACTTTGTCTGGTGCTTTTTGAAGACTTGCGTAGCCCTAAACTTGAGTTTTGAGTTGGTGACACCCAGAGAAATCGCGCCTCTTGACCGTCTCCCCGCTTCTGCGACTCTCTCGCGTGCGTGCACTCTGATCATAATCTAGCCTTAGTTAGGTCATTAAGCCCCTCCTTCCAGCAGCCAAGAAAGTTGAATCAAAGGGTAAAGCTTGTAGTACATATCGCACGAGATCACCAATCGATCTGGTTTTTAGACCTCAGGAAATGTGCAACTACTATATGATGTACTACTATAACTCCAGCGAAGAGACTCCGTTCCCGGGTGACCCATTCTGCATAAAAAATGAGGGATCTGTAAGAAGCAGTTTACCACTTTCTTTTTCTGAAGAAAGCTCCGGTTTTGTTCGTTATTCGTCGTTCTAGGAGGAAATGAGGAAAGACTACCCCGTAGAAGGCACACTAATACTACCTTCTAAGCCAACCCTTGAGCGCACTTCGTATGCAACAGGGGTGAGTTCACTTTACTGCGGTAGTAAGTATGGTATCTTCTTCTCCAATAATTTCACTGGTTTCTTAGTTTTTCAACCCATACAGCTTAAATAATGCTTCGATAGATAGCCTTCGGTGTTGTCGAGGAAGGAGCGCATACAAGCGTTGGAAGTGTAAAAATTGGGCAAATAGCAGCTCTGTCGTTCATAGATGACAGAACATTGGTTATTTTCCACAGAGCTGAGAGAGTATGGAATAAAAGGTACTATAGACTATCCCAGTTTCAGTGTCGGGGGCATTAGCTATTTGAGTCCCGCGCGGATGTCTGCTTATACCACGGTCGCGAATATGTTCTCTGGCCGTTTTCCCACGCCTAATCAACGATTGAAGCTTGACTCTGAGCCCTCTCCCGCGCCCGAGCGTGGGGAATTGATCAAACGGCACGTCCGCGAACGCGGCGCAGGGTCTAGGGGAGGCGACTGCGCGGGACTCGAGCTGCTGGTGCGTCCGACATTGACATAGTCTGTACATGTGAGTCTTCTCCCAAATCTTCCGAATTTTCCATTTAGGTCATTTGACAAGTACGATGTAACGATTGATAAGACACCAATCGCGGACCATGTGATCTTGATAGTCAGTTTTATTGATGGTAAATTGCGTCTCTTGAAGAAGCTGGGAAAGAATAAGTGAGTCTGAACTATGGACTCGAATATGATTATCCATGGAGAGTTTGAATGAATTCCCAATTTTTCTGCCGCTGTAAGATTTGTTGATTTTTGCAAGAGGTATTAGAACCAGGTTATGATGAATACTACCATTTTTTTTTTGAACAGATTACATCTATAAATATGAATAACAAACAGATAAACAGCAAGATCAAAGAATAAAAATTGAACAAAGTAGAAATAAATGATTCAGGTTTTACATGCCACATGGATTGCACATTGATAAAGACAACTTTTTCTATACTACAGATGCTGGGTCGCATACTGTGGCAAAGTGGAGATTGGAAGGAGATGGTATTTATCTTATATATAGTTTTTTTTTCAAATGCAAAAATCCAATGGCTCAATGAGTAGCACTCGAATTATGTTAAATAACTCTCTAAAGCAATTTTCAACGGTTTTTTACTTGATTTTTTATGAAGTTTTGAAGTGGATACCCTGGGTGTGGCGATCGGGTTCTTGAGCCATTTTGTAGTGGACCGTAAAATCGCAAACTATGTATTTTTCCCAACGCAAAGCTGGTTTTGTAAAAGAAAAATATACCGGAAAAAGGTGTCCAAAGAGGGCTAAAAAATATGCATCAAATTTGCGCCAACCTTAAAATTTGCGGGGATATCATGCTTATTCACAAACTTTACCTAGACTTGGACCCTATTTTCAGACCTCGAATTGGTTTGGGAGAGCGGTGTAAAAATGAAGCCGGGTGCTGACGATGCTCATTTTTGCAAGCCAACTGCTGTAGTCACAAACGACGAGGGCGTATTTGTAACGGATGGTTATTGCAATAATCGAATAGTACAGTTAGACAGTACTAGCGGAAAGAGAATGGTCAGCAAGATTCTTAGAGAACTATTTTTCAAAATTAACTAAGTCCTTTCAGTTTGAGTTTGGCTTGTCCGGTCCTGGTCATGGTACATTTAATCTCCCACATGATATTGTAACGTCTTTCCCCAGCAATCATCTGTTTGTGGCTGATCGTGAAAATGGCAAAGTTCAAGAAATCACCACTAGAGGAGATTTTGTATTGGAGTGGAGTTCAAAGTATGTTTTCGGATTATACTTTATACGAGTAAAATAATTTTTTGCAGCCTCTTCTCAAATATCTACTCGGTAGATACTCATGATGACTATGTTTACATGGTCCCTGGACGAATCGATGCAGTAGGTCATTTTTTGACATGTCAGAAACATTACAAATTAAAGTTATTGAAATTGTTACTATTTTTATATGCTAGAACAGATGGTCTGTAGAAAATGGTTGGTTCATTATTCATATTTATGGTATAAATAATGCTGTGATTCTTTCCTCTAAAAATCGCTCATATTCTTGGCTCAAAGATTTCGAAATCGCTTATCTAATGAAAATTTGTAGGTTCTCAGGGATGCTATTCAAAATCAAAAAAGACATTTGAGGACGAAGGGTATGATATATGGTTTGATTCAAAAGTTCTGTCGCTTTGATTTTGTAAATTCTTAACTGCTCTCTGTGAACGTGTTGACGTACAAAAAATACCTCCAATAGATAGATTCATCTGTTTTCCAACAACATCTTTGCTGCTATATGACGGCAAAAAAACCCAGAAATAAAAATTCAAATAGGAGAACGACCCAAACTCGCTCATCAAAAATCTGATACGCTGCAGAAAAATCTGGAAACATTTTATTAGAGTTTTTGTGAGCTGCTCTTTCCAACTGTCAAGTTTGTGTTAATCAAGTTTTTCTATGAGAAGTTATGATTTTCATGAAAAATGCAAAAAAAAAATGCAAATGTCATTTTTTTGCATCTTTCACGAAAATCATGACTTTTCATAATAAGGCTTGATTGGCACAAACTTGGCACCGTTAGAAAGAGCAGTTTACAAAACTATAATAAATGTGCTTTCAGATTTTTCTGCAGTGTTTAGATTTTTGACGCTTTGTTTTCGAAAATCAGAGCTTTGAGTGGTTCTCCTTTTTTGATTTTTATCTCTGGAGTCTTATCCTTAAAGAGACTCGAAGATGTATTTAAAAAGTAGATAAAGATTTTTCTATCTGAAGGCTTTTTTTTATAAGTCAATAAGTCACACAGGCAGCAGTTATGAATTTTTCAACATTAAATGGGCAGAACTTTTGAGTCAACGTAATAGTAATTGCTTTGCTATCGGTTGGCCTGGTAAACTCACTTTCGGGATCTTACGGTAGGTAACTCACTATTCACGGTAAGGCAGGCTTGTGTTCCACCCACATAACGTATTACTGTTGTAATACATGAAGGAAATTCATATCATTTGAAATAAACATTGTTCTTGCTATCACATTGCAACTGCGCTACTTGGAGTAGCAAAATTCAAAATTTTGATGAGGAGTACCTATATATTTTATCGTTGCCTAGGGACCTGCTCGCGTTTACGCTGGTCGCGCTGGTACTGGTCTCATTGAGTTCTCTTTCGCACCTACCAGTCGAAAGTTTGAACACGTACATACACTTCGAGTATCTCCTGATGGTTACCGTATCGCTGTCGGTGATAATCACGGACCGACTTTGTTCGTGTTTAGGGTATGTTTTCTCCATATAATTTTGATCTAGCAGTAACGCCCAACTTTCAGATACAACCCAAGCGTCCCACATCATTTCCACGCAGCCCGTTCATGTTCTCCACCTCGTTTTATCTATTCGATGCGGAGAGATGGCCGTTGCTTATGATTCCAGTGATTGGATGCGCAATGATTATTATTGGATTCGTTGTATGCTTAAGAAATGGGAGAGAACGAAAAGTCACTAAAAATCATGTGACGTTCGATAAAAAGGTGGGCTTTATCTTAGGTTTTGGATCGAAGTAAACATGCATAAATTTTTCTAACAAAGCAACGTCCTCCCCCCCCCCCCTCCCCCAACCTAATCAGTTTTACTGCAACTATAACAGAAAAAGGTGCCATATCACTAAGTGAATAGAAGTAACTTTTACTTTGTTCATACTGAATCTTCACGGACCACTCGTACAATAATAACGGTTCCAAATTTCCCAGATATTTTTTTTTGCCGTGCGTGCTAACTTGTCTATTTTTCGGTATCGATAATTACTTTGAAGTTTTGGCAGAGGTCAAAGTAGCAGGACAATGCGACCAGTATGTTTTCTGTAGAGTTTTTTTTTTTGAACTAAAAATTTAGATCAATTTTATCAAAAATAATTTCGGAGACGTGATAGGTTCGCTAAAAGTTGAGGGGCAGCAGAAATTTTTTCAGAACAATTGGCTTACGTCACGCCTCTTCATTTGGAAAATTTTTCTCCCCCCTTTTTCCCTTTTCCCTGGACGAAATTTCTCGAACGCCACTGTTTGAAGCATTTAGTTTCTTTCACCTTGTTCTGCGATTCTGAGCTGAAAGGAATTTCTTACCACATTCTTCGTGAGGGGAGTCTATGAAAAAAAAAACAAATCGCAGGTCAAAACGTATCTTGCCAACATTGCTCAATTCCCGAGGACATTTCCACAAGGCTTCAGTGTGTAGAAGCGCATGATTTGTTGCAAATATCCGCTTACCTTTACGATAACATGATGTTCATGTATCTGAGCGATTTGTTCTTTCGCTTAACACATTGACGACAAGGCCGATTTTTCGATTACTGCCATTTTGGACAGGAGCCTTTTTTGCTCTGCCAAACTTACGACCCACCCGTGGGTCATATTGTCCGAAATGGTAGTCTTTTTAGAAGAAATTCAAAACATGTTTCCGAGAATTTCCCCACAAGGGTTATCGGAGGCGTTGATTATCAGAATATGATTTATTTCAGTTTTTGGCAGTATACGGTAAGATTACGGTAGTCACTCCGTACGAACCCAACACCACGGATTTTTATGAAAAATTGTGTTTTGGGGTTATTTCACATGCTGATCACGATTATAGTGTCCACTTTGTTCACTTCTTTCCCACAGTGGGACTACGGTAGCAGTACGGTAGAATCTTTTTAAGAATCAAGAAACTGATGTAAGAAGGCGGTATTAGAACTTGAGACTATCATTTTCATAATCAGCATGCTAAAAAACCTGCTAAAAACCTATATATGCAAGGTTTGAGCTTCCTGGGATGAACAATGCGAAAAATCAATAGAATCAATAAAATCGATAATTTTTGATGGGCTAACATCAGTCTCATGCTCCCCCTGTACTTCTTGTGCATGTAAACTTGAATTGTCAAAAACAGCACCACTCTGCGAGAAATTCGAGCTAAAATCTGTGCCTTACCTCTATCTACGGTATACCTACCCTAACATTACATTACAGTATCCCGGACCCGGACCACTCCGGCCAGAGCTTCGCCAAGGTGTCCCCAATCATGTGCCAGAATAACGTAGAATTCCATCGCATGCTGGCAAAGTTGGAGCTTTCGAGAACTTACGACCCACCGGTGGGTCGTATTGTCCGAAATGGCAGTACACGTACGACCCACCGGTGGGTCGTATTGTCGTTAATGTGTTAAGACTTTGAGTTTCACTTGTGGAAGTTCCTAGTCATCTTACCCCGAGTCAAAAGAATCAAGTCTTCTACTTTGATATATTGTATCTTTCAGGACTACAAAGCACTACCACTCGATAAAGAAGATGCTGTGAAACTAATGAGCGACAATTCCGATATTGAGGAGCCTTAATTCTCAGTCTGTACTGTTTCTGTTGGATATTCTTTCCAATAATGAGTACCAGTGGTTTTATCCCTTGTATGGATAATTGTATGGTTCTAAAGACGCAATATCTCCTCGCTATGTGTCGCACTTCACAATTAATTGCTCCTTCAATAAAGTCCAGTATCTTATTCTAAGATTATCACAATTTAATACACATTTGTCCTTACAGTCAATCCATGTAGATTTTCAACACAAAAACGCTTGAAAATTAAAGGCAAGAAAACTCGCTAAGACTCAAATTTTCAAAATATTCGCTTGCGTACTTGTGGGCACTTTTCCCAAAAATTCCTGCACCTGCAAGCGTAAAGCTTTCAATCTTTAATGGCTACTACATTATTTCCTGTAAGGGTGTAATCAGAGAAAAAAGCCTTTGGATATTATGAAAGTTAACACTATCATAAAGTATTATATTCTGTGTAGTTTCACTTGTCATTTTTGGAGCACTATCAAATTCTGAAGAAAACGCTTTTTGTAAGGAATAAAAAACTGCTTTTTGAGATTACCTAATTTGGAAATCATCTGCGGTATTGGTCTTTTTAGGCGCAATCGCTTCCTACTTATGGATTTCGGAAAATGACAGCTTTTCTATGAGAAACGCATGGTAATTTTGTCTATGGGTCAATAAATCTATTTTTACTTTGTTATGTGATTGGGCCACCTGTGCCGAGCCCTGGAGTCATCACCTACGAGAAGTTCGTAGTTTGCTTCACTCATTGTTCCCCCCCCCCCCCTCTCTCTCTCCCGCCTACTTTTCATTGTGACTTTCAATACCCATCCAAAAGTGTGCTCAGATTATATCAGTAGTTCTCACCTCTTGCAGACGCATTTTTGCACACATGTCATTATTGCGTGATGCTTAATTTCTCTATGGTAACGAGCAGTCTAATGAGACTAACTAATGCTCGATATTACTTCTCAGTAAAATTTACATGTTTTTGTTAGTCTCTATCGTCAGTTCGCAAAAGTACCATTGAAACGATGTACTTGTAATAAAATGTGAAATTTTGTGCAGTGAAGTCGACGTAAGCCCTTTTATTGTCTAAAATTACATTACGGTAGGTCTGTTAAAACCTAAAATTGATAGAAAAATGAATAATTCAAGAACTGACATCATTAATTGCTATACGATTTGAAAGGCAAGTCATTAATTCAAAATTGGAGATATAGTACTGTAATGGACTTTTTGAAAAAGGAATGAGTTAATGGAATCTTCTGTTTGGAAAAGCATTTGAGTGATGAGGAGAAGAATATCAAAGGAATAACAACACAACCCATAAGTAAACGATTACTAAACAAAGGGCCTAGAGTACTACAAAGAAAAAAGGCTTTAGTGGTGAATTCGACCATAAGATCGAAAAAAAATCTTCTTTTACCTTGTTGATCTATGATTGTTGATTTTCGTGACGACATCAACAAGACCGAAATCGGGCATTGCTTGGCACAGTGATTGAAAATTTATGATTTTTGAGTACGTTGTTGGGTAAATGTCTACTATAAAATCCACACATGGTTGTTCAAATAAAAGCTATGCTTATCATCATTAATTGAAGTGGTATTGTATACTTTCTATTTTCTACCTTCCAATCGAATGATTTTCATTATTTGCACAGATCCTAGCGTGAGTAGATGGTATTATTTACTTGTTTATTTATCTATATTAGGTTATTCCGAAAGTAATTTCGCTTTTTTCGAACGGACGCCACATACGATGGAACAAAGATTTCTAAGAGATCTTGGTAGCATTCGATGCAGAATTTCATTCTCTTTCTATTGGTTGTGTAACTGTTGCAAAACAGTCAATGAGCTTTTAGAAAATAACCAAAACCTGCAACCCATGCTTTTTGAGATGGTCAAGTTTTATGATTTTTTAAAACTTTCATATCAATCCTCAGAAGGATTGCAACTAATGATTCGATAGAGTAAACCTTATAGAACACAGTACTACTTTTTTCTCTTCCTCGTATCTCGCCGTAATTTTTGAAAAGATTTTTTAACAGAACCATCGGATTTTGGCAGGCCCACCTCAGCCACAATCGCATCAAACATCATAATTTTTCGGAATTTGAAACTACCAAGATAGTACTATGAGTTAGCATGCATTTTACAAAGCATGTGAAGGTTTACGGGTTCGAAATATCAAATTTCGAGTTTTTCGGACACAGCATGGGGCTCGCTAAAGAAATGAGTTATGATAATTATCCTCGGAAACTAAGCGAATCGGAAACAAAAAACACCTGTTAGAAAGAGGAGAAAATGCTGCATCGAATAGTGCGCGAGCTGCTCTTCTTTTGATGTACAAGAATTAGCCGCCCAAGTATGGAAATTGGTAGCATCAGTTAAAATTCTGTTAAAAATGTATGACAAGCTATGGAAAGGAGAAAAAAGTAGTGCTTTATTCTATAAAATTTACTCCATCGAATCATTACTTGCAATCCTTCTGAGGATTGATATGAAAGTTTTAAAAAATCATAAAACTTGACCATCTCAAAAAGCATGGGTTGCAGGTTTTGGTTATTTTCTGAAAGCTCGTAGACTGTTTTGCAACAGTTACATAACCTTTAGAAAAAGAATGAAATTGTGCATCTAATGCTACCAAGATCTCTTAGAAATCTTTGTTCCATCGTATGTGGCGTCCGTTCGAAAAAGCGAAATTACTTTCGGAATAACCTAATATTTATCTACCTCTTTATTTTTTGTATTTTTGTTGTGCCAAAATACCAAAAAATAATAAAATGCAAAGCAAACAATGTATTAGGCTGGGTGATAAATAAATTTGGTCGTTTTTTGCGTTTTGTAAAAATGTTACAGATCAATTTTTGTTTTCATATTTGGCACTATTGGAGAGTAAATCACGGAGAATCGAACTCCGTTTCTTCAAAAATTATGTCTATTATCAGGAACTGATGCAAGAAAAAAACAGTCGAATTTTTAGCCAGATAACACTGAATTAATATAAGGTAGCATTGACATACATAAGAAATTTGGACAGCGTCCACTGAAGATGTTTAAATTCAATTCATTCAAAAATCTAACAATTCTCCAAGTTCGCCTGTTTTCACAATCTTTTTTTATGGCCATGCAAAATCCTACAAACTTCTTAATGACCCTCTGTGACTTCTGATTCCTCAATCTTTTTACGTCCTTTACTTTCTCTTTCTTCGTTACTTACTGAGGCTGAGAATTCCCAACCACAATGCTGCCGGGCCACCTGGTGTGAATCTCGATTCGCGATGACCGACTCGTCACCACATTAACTTTTGACAAAGTTTTCGCAGCAATTGGGGCAAAAGAGAAAGAAATTCTTCCGGTCGGAATAATTCGCCTTTATGTCTAAGTTGTATTTGTTTGACGCTCTAGATTTACGACGTTTTTCTGTGATTAATTTTGGAATTTATTAAAAATGTTCAGTTGAAGAAAATTAGGGTTTTTTTGAAAGGAACATCAGACTTATCAGAAAATGTACCCCCTCTTCAGTCAAAATCCCTATACTTCCCGAAATTTTTGTTCCAAACCGAGTTTCTGAGACTTCTATTGTTATCTCTAATACTTGGGTGAGTGAAATAGGTTCTCTAGCGTGTTTTTGAAGTCTCGAACTGATTACTATGAACGAAGAACGGCGCCGAGGCCAATGTGTGTGCTTTGTTTCGAGAGAACTTCCCGCATTGCCGTCCATGACGAGGTCATCTGCTGCCATACCTGCTAAAATTGCTTTGTGCTGTTTTTTAGAAAAACTTTGGGTTCCTGGGAAAAATTTAGTACAATTTTTGCGGTAATTTCAAATATTTAGGTATTTAAATTCGGCCTCAAGGCATGCAATTTTGTCGAATTTGCTCGGGGTAGGCCTATTTTTCGTTTCCCTGTTCAAGAATGGCACGACTACCATAAATTTATGCTTCTAATGGAATGTCTGAACATTTTCTCACGAACATTGTTTTTAAGATTCACGCAGCTTCTGTATCAAAATTGCATGTTTCTTTTCTTGAGAAAACACTACAGAGAAAAAATTTCTGAAAAGTAGTCATGTGTTTTCCAAAGCATGTTAAGCCAAGGTGACCAAGCAGTCTCTAATCAAAGCTTGAAGTATGGCTAAATTAACAAGCCAATTTGTACCTTTACGCCGAACAGGGCTCGGCGCAGGTGGCTTGTAAGCAAGCTGGATATCTTTTGGGACGAAAAGACACAAAAATTGTGAAGTTTTTTAGTCGACGTTTCATTTTTTGAGGGTTTTTTACGTTTGGGGTTTAGGGTCAAGGGGGATTCATAAAAATTCGAAAGTCAAAGGGACTTCGTTCTTTTCATTTTCCAAAAGCCAACTTGTGCCGAGCCCTGGTGCAGAAATGTTAAAAGAAAATTTTTTCTTGTCATGAGTCTAATCAAAATGCTATATTAACTCCTCATATTATAATTCAGTCTATGTGCTATAGTGTGATATATTTGACAGCTGTTCTCTTTGACATTTGGTTCAAAAAGATTATTTTTAAGCCGCTTTTACTACAAAAACACTCTTGACGTTCGTTTGGCACCGCCCAAGGATTAACATTTTGCCAGTTCATGTCCTACTATCACTACTCATATGTTGAATTTAAGACAGAAACAATTTTTCTTCTATACTCATAGATTTCAAATGCTGTTTTAATATTTTTTAATCGTCTTTTTTGGTCATAGGACAGTTGAGTTTAACAGCTTAGTAAGCATTTTCTATTTGAAAGAAGAATAGTTTTTTCGTATTTTTTGCATTTTTGTATGGACATTTCTGCCAAAAAAAGTTTGATGTCGAGACAGATTTTGCTCATTAAACTCTGTTACCATCTTTTTTTTTCGCTGTTATCGCTAAAGTATGATTTATCTGACTTAATTGCAAGAGTTTGATATTTCTGTTTCTTCCATTAAAGGATGTGGTTAGCTCCTCCTCCCCTAGCGAATTAACCTGATAATATCGAACCTAGAGGAGAGGACCTGTTTTATAATATCTCCCATTTCTTCTATAGAATAATTCAAGGCAAGCTAATAGACGTAAGCTTGTTGCTCATATTGTCGATAATCAACGACGTCGAAGAAATAAATAAATAAATCTAGTCTACGCGATGTACTGCCATCAAATTCTGTACAAATTGTTCTCCGGATTCTCGAAACAAAATTTTTT